AATATATTTTTAATAAACATACATTTACTATTTACATGGCGATAATATAATTTACAAATACCCTCTAACCTCCAGTTCTAAGAGCAATAGTTTAAGTTAAATATATTGTTCTCTTCTTTATCTCTTTCAAGAAAAACAATCAAACAAACAATAAAAAAAAACACTGAAATACTTTGTCTAGAATAGCTGTGGTGATTTTATACATATACTTTTCAAATAGTTATCCAAGGCATTCAGCAGCTTAATACACTATATATGCAGCATAAGTTTCACTTGACCTCAGAACTTCATAGCACATTTTAATCAGTTTCATGACTTTATTCACAGTTGCTGTGTAACTGGAATTACTGGCCTCCTCAGTTTTGAGGGATTTGCTAATATGTATGTCCACTGTATCTTTTGACAGTACCACCATATCTCCTTTCTTCTACAGTCTCTTGGTTTTCTACTTGCTTTTACTTCTTCAACCCTTTGCTTTGATGACTTGCAGGTTAATGCACTCTGAGTCATGAGTTCTTCGCCTTGGCCTGTCATGCATGTCATCCCAAAAGGCCATGTTATTCCCCTAGGGAGTCACACTGGCACATACCTTCTGTACTTGATGCCATCTTAATTCCCTCCAGCCTGGACCCCTTCACTTAAGGCTGTTAGCCTGAAGGTCATTTAGAAGGTTTAAGTAAATATCTGATTTGAGGAACCTGGGATAGGAGTCTTTTTCCATAAGAGTGTAAATGATTTTCTGAGCTTCATCAAAACACATGGGGGTTGGTGCTTTAATCTTTTTGGCTGTAGATTCTCGGGTGTAAAAGTCAATATTGATCTAAAAAGAAATAATAATAGTTAATATGCACATCTCATTTACTGTGAAGTTTATAATGTTATCATACTGTTTGAAATACCTCAAGGAAGTAGTTTTAAGCTCTCATTCAAATATCTCTTAAATGCCTATTTTGGGTCAACTCTATATAGATGTAGAGAAGGTAAGAATAAATATCACCAAAAAGATGTCTTTACTCCATGTTAGCTTACAGTATAATTGGGAGATACAAGAGAGGCACACATGAACATTTGCAATATCCACTCAAAGCAGTATGTGTATTAGATTGATATAGACATTAAAAATGTACAGGAGTTACAGCTATTATCTGTTTGGACAAGGAATATTAAACTGGAAAGTGAGTACTACTATATGAAAATAATTTTTTATGCTTTAATAATACATACAGGGGACTTCAAAATGTTCATGGAAGAATGGAATGAAAAGATACTGGAATTTTTCCACAACCTTGTTGAAGACTCATTGTACTTGTTGTTAAGTGCCATTGAGTCAATTCTGACTTATAGCAACCCTGTATAGGGTTTCTGAGGAGCAGCTGGTGAGCTTGAACCGCCGACCTTATGGTCCAGCACACCGTTGTATTTACAGTCACAAAAACACCAAGCTTGCTGCTATTGAGTCTATTCTGACTCACAGCGCCTCCGTATAGGGTTTCTGAGACTGAAAATCTTTACTGGAGCAGAAACCCTCATCTTTCTCTAGCTGACTAGTCTACATTTTATCCTTAAGCTAGAGGAATAGCTCATTAAGGACTCCGTGTCATGCAGTCTGGCCAGCAGCACTCCTACTCCTTTCCCCATCCCAAATGTGGTCTGCTAGTTTTGCATAAATTCTTTTTTTTTAAATCTTTATATGCCTATCATCTTCCTTTTCATACGATCTTCACAAATACAGAAAATCATGTTATTTCATTGAACTGTACTAGTCTGCCTACGTAAACACTAGTGAAACACTATTCTGAAAAAGGATTTCATTTTGCTGTGTATGTTGAATATTATTTCTGTATCTATGTTGCTTTATACATAAACTGATAAGAATGAGCTTCATACTTACTTGTTTAGCAGCATCGGCATGCACAAATGCTTTATATATTTTCTCTGCTTTGCAATGCAAAAGATCAGACTCTGTTTTTCTATAGTCTTCACAAGCCAACCAGAATTCAATGTTCTCCTCACTGAACTCAGACTTGAGAAAACTTTCAAACACAACTTGACCCGCTAAAAAGAAGAAGAGGAGAAGACAATTAAACTAATTGAATGAATAAATGAGTCATTTCAAGACATCATTTATAAGAAGAACTACCGTTGTGTTCCCTATGTAGAAAAATAAGCAATAGCTCAAATGACTTCACCAGAAAGACTGTGTCAGAATTTGTAGAGAAGGGAAGGCTTTAGTTGGTTCTTGCATTTAAAGGAAAGGAATTGGGGATCAGGTGAATTTGTGTACAGTCACACTACATTTTGCTTCCATGTGCTATTTTAATTACAATTCTATTGGCTGATTACTCAGCAGTCTCTTTTCTTATCTATACTAAATCTTAGCCAGACTGTGTAATGTTTTCAGAGAAGGAAACATTACAAAGAGCATTAGCATTGTGTTAACAATCCACATCGTTGCTAGTATTGTCAGTTCATCTCATTGGGGGTCTTCCTCTTTTTTACTGACCATGAAAAGAACATGATGTTCTTTTCCAGTGACTTGTCCTTCCTGACAATCTGTCCAAAGTTGTTATTGCTAAGTGCCATTGAGTTGGTTCCGACTCATAGCAACTCTGTATAAGGTTTCCAAGAATGGCTGGTGGGTTTGGACTGCCAACCTGAGCAGTTCTACAGTGCTAAACCATGGCCCTTCGAACTGCATTCACAATTCTGCTTATGTGACCTTCAAATAAACAGGAGTACTGTTGTGGGGCTGTGGGTTAATGCACTGGACTCCAAAGTAATTTGAATCACAAGTAAGCAGTTCAAGCTCACCAGCTGCTCCTCACAAACCCTCTACAGGGTTGCTAAGGGTTGGAACCAATTTGACTGCACCTAATAACAACAATCCCAATAGAATTGCAGTTCCCATCATGAGAAGGCAAAATGATATCATTATTTACTTTCTTTTATCGGAAAATCCCCACAAGATTCTTTATGTTTAGAAATCTTTTTTTTTTTTTAATCACACAGGTGTTATATATTTAGCATGTTATGTAGTACAATTATTTAGTTTGTCTCAACTGTCTTGAAAACAGCAAGGGACCATATCTTTGTTTCTGTATCCCTGAAGCGATTAAAATGCCTGCCACATATGAATGATGAAACATTTTATATTGAAAAAGCTAGAATAATTTGTTAAACTTTGTTCTTATAAAGATCTATGGAAATATGCATTTGTCTTAGTCGATTTGACCAAAAGACTATAAAATTCATCAGATCACAATTGAATGATAACTCAGCATTACATTATAGTGAGGCATAATATGATAAACCTATCAGTAACCACAGAAAAACTAGAATGAAAAACTTCATACACTATTCTATCCATATACTATATCTTAATGAAGTCATTCTATCATCGATCAGAGTTTCAAAACATTCAATAGCTAACCTATACTTACTTTGGTTTGCCAGAAGTTTTTCTAAAGATTGAGACCACTGTATTACTTCATCAGCACAAAGTCTGCAAAGGATAAAAATTATATCAATTAGTAAAACATTTTTGTGTGCACTCAGAAATTAAATAGATATGGCTCCTGTCTTTTGATAGTTTCATATTCTAGGACTGTAGTTTTAATAACTTGCATTAAAATGTTCTTAGGAAAACTAAGGTTTCCCTTAGAATTTCCATCATTATTGAGACAATCTGCCAATAAAGTTTGAAAACATTTAAATAGATATGTTGCAAAAGTGCAAAAATAATGAACACATGTACACATGTATCTTATTTCCATTGCTACTAATGTAGTCTACTTTTATTTGTTTTGGTACTTAAAAGAAACAAAGTCCATTATGTATAGTACCAATCTTTTTTTAGGATATAAAGTGAATGCACAGTCTGTTCTTATAATAATTCAAAGTATCAAGGTACATACATGTCTTTGGACTTGGAAGATTTCATTCCAGATTCCAGATGTGGGATCAGAGATCTCAGGTATGTCTTCACGTCCATTCCACTGCAAAAAACACAAAAGTGAATGTTCATATTATCTCAGCCAAATATGTTTTTATTTGTAAATGAGTGTGGAAATAAGTTTTCTAAGAAATAAAGCAATAATAAAAAAGTTATTACAGCATTTTTGCTATCTTAAGATGTAGCCAGTTTTTGTTAGTTGAAGTCAGTGGAAAAGTGTTCACCAATTCAATATCTTTTATGATTTAATTCTTAACACACCTGAATACTACTATATAGCTCACTATAGGTAGTTGCTCTGATGGGTCCAAGTGCTCATATTCTCTCCTATTCGTTCTTGATCCTTCCATTAAAGATAACCTAACTTAAAATCCCCAAATTTAAGTTAGAATTCAAAGTGAATAAACTTACAAAGTCTTTGGCCTCTTTTTCTGAGTTTTGTTGTCTAGAAGAGAAGGACCGCTTCCTTTCAATTCCTTTGGATTAGCAGAGAAGAACATTGCTGGCATTTTGTCTAACCTTGGTGTGGAGATGGCTGCTGCTCTCATCTTCCTCACACAGCAAATATCTGCACGTCTAGGTCTCTGCTGCTTTATATAGTGACGGCAAACAGGCTCGAGCTGTTCAAGAGAATCTGTTTATCAAGTGATGTTACCACAGACACTGGAAGTTCCCCCTTTTTTGGTGTGTTGTGACGTGTATCTTGAAAAAAAAAAAACATACAGTGATGTCTTGTGGTTGAAACTTAACCAAATGAGAACAGGTCACTTGATTTGAAAGAAAGAACATTAAACATACAGAGGCACACAGACAGATGCCGCAAGTCTAAACCAATATCAGCCTTTGATTTTAGAGGATTTTCATTTCTTCTTTAAAATTACATTTCAAAAAGATATTTAAGTTGGTATGTTTATTGAATTAAATAGACATTAGCATTAGAATTGTATTCATTCAATGCTTCAGTTCGTCATTGACTATAAAATTCATCTGATCACAATATATTTTTTTAAACTCCTCTCCTTCTTTCCCCATAAAACAGTGTACACCCATATATATTAGATTAACCTCACTCTTTTTTTTTTTTTTTTAACAATTATTTGTGTGGGTTTTTTTTGTGGTTTGAGTTAAAGTTACAGAGTGAGCTAGGTTTCCACTCAACAGTTTATACACATTTGGTTTCATAAGATAAATTGCAATTCCCTCAATGTAAAAACTCTCTTCCAGCTTTCCCCTGGATTCTTGGTTTCTGTTCTTTCTTCTTTCCTGCTTTCTGAACTTTATTTTTGGGCATATGTTGCTGTTTTGGTCTTATATGGCTGAATATTATTAGTAGTATGTTCTTTATAAGTATTACTGCTCACTTTATAGTGACCCTTGAGGGTAAGTTCAGTAGCGGTTACGAATCTGGCTGCAAACCTTAAGGTCAGCAGTTCGAAACTACCAGCTGCTCCGCGTTCGAAAGATGACGCTTTCTGCTCCCGTAAACATTTACAGCCTCGGAAGTCCTGTACGGGGTCGTGATGGGTCGGAACCAACTTGACGGCACTTAACAACAACAACAACAAGGGCCACAGTTTGGGGTTCTAGTAGTCTCAATCAGATCAGTCAGTCTGCTCAGTCAGTCAGTTCCCAAATCCAGTTACATCATTCCCACAGGATATTTGGTATGACTAAAAAGTTTAAATTATTTTGCTCCCTGTCGTCTTTACCATATGTGGTGATGGTAGTGATGTGCCATGGAGTAGATTCTTATTCATAGCGGCCCTGTAAATCTACAAGGGAGCAGAAAGTCTCATCTTTCTCCCGTGGAATGGCTGGTAGTTTTGAACTGCTGACCTTGAGGTTAGCAGCCTGACCCATAACCACTATGCTATCAGAGCTCCTTTCTTTACCATATGCAGAGATATATTTACAGCACATACAAACATGTATGTAGAATAGATAAAAAGATGGAGACAGCCTAAGTGCTCATCAACTGAAGAATGGATAAACAAACTTTGGTACATACACATAATGGAATATTCTGCAACCTTTAAGAATAACAAGGAAGCTGCAAGTCACTGCATAACATGGATGAACCTTGAGGACATTATGTTGAGTGAAATTAGTCACTCACAAAAGGAGAAATACTGCATAGGGCCACTATTATAAAAGACTAAGGAAAAGAACCCATACTAAAGGAGGTGGGGTAAGGATTCTTTGCTGGTTACTGGATGTGGGGGCTAGGGGGAGGGGAGGGGAGGGTAAGGTGGAGCATAGGGTAGGATGGTTTGGGTGCTGGGGAGGTGGGCAATAGACAAGAATGGGGAGGGGAATGGAAGGACAAGGTGTATGGGAGGACAATTAGGCAGGTTTGCATGGGCTAAGTGGGACCGAGGTAAATAATGATGTATGCACAACCTTAGAACAACGAGCTCTGGGACACAGGGATTGACTCATGGTTGGAATGGGGAAAAGGGGGGAAACAATGATAAGCTGATTGGCTGTCTTTTAATCTTGGTTTCCCTTGCAAACCATTACAAAATAGACACTTGAGGCGGAGAGAAAAGAATAGCCAGCGATATCACTATAGAAAGCTTGTAAGTCCATATTCTGCTTTTAATTGATAGGAATACCTAAAATTGGGCTACAAAATGCCCGGTGAAGGAGACTTTTTGTGGAGCATTACATAAGACCACTGGTTGAATCCTGAACCCCATCCAGAACCTTCAGAGGTGGGAAATATCTACTTGAAAGGACAAGTAGACCAGCATGGAGTGGCTAGAAGAACAGACGATACTTGAAAGAAAGACCGACAGGAAAAATACAAAACAATAATGGCAGTCCAACTGACTACTACCAGAACAAGCAAGTTGCTTGCACAGAAGACATCAAGGCAAGTGGTTGGGTCCCCTCCCCTTCTAAGACTAAGACTCAATGGTAATACATGTGCTCTGACTGGTGACCATAAGGGGAAGTGAGGGAAAAACAGCAATGAAGCAGCAAGCTAAGCCCCACCACGTTCAATAGACTCATGTGAACCCAGGTGGAGACCTAGTTGGCCAGCAGTGTGGCAAGACCTGGGGATTCTTGGGCCTAGAGTCAGTGACATAGCCACAGAGGACTAGAGTGGAGAGTGAAGCATCCAGCTAATAGGAAGTGAGGGCATATACACAAGAACACCCACACTTGAAGACAATACCCACTTGACCTGGCTTCAATGGCTGGATGATCAGAGCTCAACTATAAGAAGAAAGAAGAGGGGGAAAAAAGAGTAGTCTGGTACAATTTGATGAACTTGACTTACACCTATGGATGCAGTAGCTCAAAAGAGGGAACAAATCCTTACAGCAAGAATCATTCCCACCCCCTCAATACACAGGGGAGACAGGATGGGCAACTTGGACATTGGCTACCCAAAATGGGGGGCTTCAAAGGCAAGAAGTAACTGGCTTACAAGCTTTCAAGAGGGAGCCTAGATCCAGAAGGCGTGGAGGAAGGTAGAACCTCCATTGAGTAGTATCCAATCTGTCTGGGCTGGACTGATTAAAGGACATGGGGATGGCATTCATGTGGCATAATAGTGAATAATTGTTATCAGGAATGACTGTGAGGGTTAGAAATGTAAAGAAAGACATTTTGTAGCAAAAGGAGTGGAGTGGTTGACTTTGCAGTCCAGGAGCGGAGGTCCCTGGGACCATCAAGGGAGAAGAGCGGAGTGCGGGACCCTACCCAGAGAAACAGTGATGCCAGAGATGGAGGCAGAGATGATGACATGGAGAGATGGAATGTTTGGGGACTCTTGACCCAGAGTGGGAGAGGGGCTGTGTGCTGATGACCAGGGGGCAGGCTTGCAGGGTATATACCCTTTGGTGGTTTAATGATGCATGGAGGGGATTATAACCATGGCAATGAAATGATATATGATAGGATGAATGTAAAGCTAATGTTCTCTCATGTAAACTATCACATAATGCACAATAAAACATTAAAAACAAAACAAAACAAGTCAATGGAGAGAGGGAGCAGCTGAGGACATGGAAATAGAGGGACTGAGAGCTGGCAGCCAGGAGGCAGACTTGTGGAATGTGCCCTTTGGTGGTGTAAATAATTTATATGCCTGAGAGTTAAAAAAAAAAAAAAAAAAAAAAGCTAAAACGAATACAGAGAAATACTCTCTTAACTGATGGTACATGGAGGGGATTATAATCATTTTAATGAAACAATGTATATGATTTGTTGAACGTAAAACTGATGATCTGTTCTGTAAACTTTCAACTCAATTCACAATTCAAATGAACAAGCAAAAACATGTATAGAAATATACTTTGCCACATCTATGTATGGTCTTTAATTTTTTTTTTTTTTTCTACTTTTTAGAATGAATTGAGTGAAGGTTTACCGACACTATCATGATCATCAGCTTTACATTAAACAGATCGTACTCTTGGGTTCATCTCAATGATCACAATCCCCTCCATGCAGCAACAGTTATCCTGCTTCCTCTCTGTAGTTATTTCCAGTCTACCCCACTTCCTTTCCCGTCTCATTTTTGTCCTTAGGAAAATGTTGCCCTTTTGATTTTTAATGATTGATCATTCTATTGTGAAGATACCTTACTAGTGCTATTGTCCACCCCCCTTTAATTTACCTACTGCTTGGTTGAAAATTAATCCCTGAGGGGATGTTCCTTTCCAGACCTGAGGGGTGGTCAAGGGCCATAGTCTCATGTTCGTCCAGTCTCTTTCTGACCAGTAGACCTGGTCCTTTTTTTTTTTTTGGTTGTGTTAAATAATTTTGAATTCTGTTCCACATTTTCTCCAACTCTATTCAGAGTGCTCTAATGTGAATCTCTTTCAGGGCAATTGGTCAATCATATGTATGATACTGTTGATGTAATCTTATAACTCTTAGTTATTAATGTCTAATACATCAAATCTATTCTTGAGGTGGTCTCTAAATTCAGGTGGGATATATTCTAACCCTTTGACTCTCACAGGCTAATTTTAATTTTCTTTTTCTTCATTCTGAATTTGAATATGAGCATTTGATGATCACTTTCACAGTTGACCCCTGGCTTTGTTTTTGCTGATAATATTGAGCTTTTTTCCACTGTGTCTTCCCACAGACATGAGGTCCATATCTATAGGCAGTCACTGTTTATGTTGTTTAGAAAGGCTGTTTGCAATAAATAAGTTGTTGGTCTTTCAAAATTGTATCATTTTTTATCACCAAAAGCCATATTTTTATCACCAAGGCCATATTTTCCAACTATTGATCATTCCTCTTTGTTTCCATCCTTCTCATTCCAATCACCAGTAATTATCCGTACATCTGGACTGCATGGTTGATCAGTTGAAGACTGAAGAAGTTGGTCAAATTCCTCAATTTAAAATAACACGGGTATATTGTTGTTGTTATTAAGTGCTATCAAGTCATTCTGACTCAGCAGCAACCCTGTACAGGGTTTTGGAGGGGCAGCTGGTAAGTTCATATAGCCAACCTTGTACTTCAGACTGACATTGCAGTTCAGTACTATCCTACACTGACACACCAAGGCTCAGACCATGGGTATGCATATAT